CTGCTTTATGTAAGGAAGCCTCTTAGTAACATCCCATCCCAAGGCTGCATTTCTTCTGGGTGCAGATCTGCACTATATGGTGGTGGTGGTTGAGAGGTGGGGTGAGGGTAACTAGAGGAAAGGCTGGGCAGGTCTGTGTCTGAACTTGTGTGTTCTCTCAGTGCAAAGGTAAGGCTCTCCAAGACAGAGCTGCCCAGAGTCCTCCCCACCCCCTGTTCCCATGGGGTCCCAGCAATGCTGTGATGGGACTGATGGTGGGAGGTGAGGAGCAGGGCCAGGCAAGAGAAACCAGGGAGTGGGGAGAGGGGAAAGAACAGTTCCTCAGGGGTCCTCAGAGATCCTGGGTCAAAGGCTGCCTGAGAGCCAGAATGGACAGGGCCTTGACCTAGGCAGAATTTTGGAGTGAAATCATTTTATATTTACCTTGAAAAGGAGAGAACTGACTCTCACTGCATGCTTTCCATGTGACAGGTTCTTTTTTTCTTTTTTCTTCTTTAAATATATCTTTATTGATTTCAGAGAGAGGAAAGGAGAGGGAGAGAGATAGAAACATCAATGATGAGAGAGTCATTGATCGGCTGCCTCCTGCACGTCCCCTACTGGGGATCGAGCCTGCAACCCGGGCATGTGCCCTGACTGGGAATCGAACCCCAATCGCCTGGATCCTAGGTCGATGCTCAACCGCTGAGCCACGCCCAGCCGGGCCCATGTGACAGGTTCTTAATACATGTGCTACCAAATCGAATGTTCCACCAAAATCTGAAGTTGAATGTCAGGAGTGCTGCCCACATGCCAGGTACCCTATCTGCATGCTGTTGGTTGGGCTCATTTATGGTCCTCAAAGGCATGAGGTGGACCCCGGATTGGAATCCAAATGCATGCACCCCCAAGCGCATGCTGCTTGGGCTAGACCATGTGACCTCTACTTAACCACTGCCCTGGGGAGTAGTAGTTTGGCCCAGGTCAGAGAGCATCGAGGGGGCACCTGGCCTGACTGCTGCTCCTAGTGTAAAACCAATGTAGTGATATAGTAACCATCATGACATATTTAGGGGTGCAGGGCTTCAAGCTAAAGACACCTACACACAAGAGTATTTTCTATAGTGGGGGGAAAATGAATTTTTTTCCTAAACTGGAAGAATACCTGCTTCCTACTGTGCCAAAGGATGACAGGAGCTTTTAAAGGTCTCTTCCCTGCAACCCCTTACTCTCCATTCTCTTTTCTTCTTCCCATATTTAAAACAGCATTCCCCTGTCCCTGCTTTTATGCGCCTTTCAGCTTCCACGACATCCACGTTTTCATCTTTTCCCCTGAGACCAAGCCTGTGCCCTGGACCCTTTAATTTAAGGTGTCTTCCCTAAGCCTCAGGATAACCCTGCAAGGTAGTGGCATAGCCCCGTTTGAGGGATGCTGAAACCGGGCTCAATGGCAGGTGAGTGGAACCAGTTGGGGACATCCATTCAGTTCTCTGCACGCACATACAGGCCATGTGGAGACCCTGGGGTGGCACAGGTATCTCCTCCCTGTCCCGTTCGGCCATCGCTTTAAAAGGAGCTACCACCTGGCAAGGTTAGAAGGTCAGCCCAGGGCTGCTCCTCTCACCTCACCTTCTTGCGCCCTGCGGACCCCAAGTTACATTGTTTCTTTCACTGCCCCCACTCTCATTGGCCCGCCACAGCGCATCCCCATTGGCTGTGGGTGCCGGGGACACGCTGTGATTGGCCAGTGCCCAGGGCCGAGGTGCTAGGTCTGCTTTTTAGTCTCGGCAGAAGCCGTGGTCCCCACTCTGGCTGGCGCAAGGCCCGTGGTCACTGCAATCGCTGTCACTGCTTTCAGGGCGTCACACAGCCTCCTGCATGTCCAGGGAGTGGGGACGTCGTGTGCACGGGTGCCCATCCCTCTGAGTGTGAGTATTGGCAAAACGCTGAGGTCATCATACCCGCTTACCTCCAGAAAGGTGCACTTTGCCTTTTGGGTGCTTGTTTCCACGCGAATTGAGTCAAGTCGGTGCACCTACCTAAATAGGTGAAATTTAGGTCTGGGGCCAGACTTGAATAGAAACGTTTGTATATGCCATTGTGACGACCTATACATATTTCTGAGAATAACTGGATTTTTTTATGTTTTTACATGATCTGAGAGGTGTGCCTAGGGTTTGAATGGATCGCACTCGAATGCTTAAAAATTTCTCTGAACCTTATATGTTTTTTAAAATTTTGTCTAGAGAGTTTAAAAAAAAAAAGCTCTAAGCGGGTACTAAGTGGTGTTTTAATAGGAAAAGTATTTGGTAAAGAAAGTATGCTTTGGTTAACTGATGAAAAGTAATAAAAATATGGTATGTAGTAGGTATTTACTACATCTGTACTGAGTTCCCTTGATTCTCACACCTTTTAGATTCCCAAGCCTGCTTGTTTTTTTGAGTCAGAATAGGATATGCAGGTTCTTGTCCCTGTCTAATCCCTCCCTACCCCTCTTATGTGGCAAGTGGCCAGCATCATTTCAAAAAGACTTTTCATGAGACTATAAATGCTTAGGATCCAGAGAGGTCTTTGGGGTGAGGGTGGAACTGTTATTCCCTGTCCCCCAAGGTTTTCTCTTGATCTTCGGTTTCTTGTAGCTCTTTAAACCCAGCACCTCTGCTCATCCCCAGGCTGGGAGATGTGGTCTTAGCTGTCCAGGCAACAGAACTCGTTGTGGTTTTAGTGTGGGAGAAACATCTGGGCTAGGGAGTGTTGCCATTAATCATATATGCTCACCCTGGGAGGGACACCTTATGTGCTGGATAGATGGATCCTGACCAAGCACCTTACTGATTTGTTGGCAAAACAAGATCAAGTTAGAAACCAGTGTGGACTGGGGCTGGGAAACTTCTCGGAGGAATTGGGACTTCAACTAGGAATTGAAGGGCAAGTTGACTTGAAATAGGTAGAAACTGGAGTGGGGGCATCCTAGGTGGAAGGAAAGGCAGTGAGCCACAGAATAGAGGTTGGTGGGCTTGAAAGCAGATGTTTCTTCTGTTGGTAGTGAGAGGAAGGGGGAAAGGGAGATTCTGAGTTTTCAGTGCTATTACAGTGCAGATTTCCAGGCCCTGGGGATGGAGTCTCAGACTATAATCTCTAACTGCTCTAATTCCTTATACTGCTGGGAGCAGTGTCCTTAACACGCTTTGCATCTGTATAGTACTTTTGTGGGAAATGGTTTGTTTGTATTTTCTCCTGTTTTTAAGTAAAAGATGACGTCTTGATTTCATTTTTAGAGTTAGTTCCCCCAGTCCTAGCAAAAGAGCCAGCCTTTTAATAAGGCAGAAGTGGGCCCTGCCCTCCCCTCCCCCTTCTAGACTGACTTCTGTGGCACTTGTCCTGGGAAATCCATCCCTTCACACATATCACAGGCACTGAAGGGACAGATCCAACTGTATTCCTGCAACAAAAAGCTCTGTCTAAAAAATCTCAACTTAAGCTCTGGTCAGGCCCACAGTTATCTTTATCAATAAAGGTATCTTGAAAAGAATGTTCCTGGAGGAATTCATAGCAAATCCTTCCTAACGGAGAGCAAGAGGCAGCATTTAGGAGCAGGGTATGTAAAATTGCGCAAGGTCCAGTCACGCTCAGCACCTCCTTGTCTTGATTTTCAGCTTAAAGCAGAGCGGAAGGATCTTCTCGCATCTTGCATGTGGTGCGCCCCATCCCCCACTTCGGCATCTCCCCGCTCCAGACCGGGGCAGGCGGGGTGAGGTAGAGGTCACAGCTCCCAGTTGCTGGGCAGGATGCTCTAGCGCCACCTTCCCCCCTAGCAGCCTCCAGGGGTAGCAACTAACGGGGACGTCTGCCCCCTATGGGAGAGGCAGAGGGCTGCACCCTTGTCCCGTGACTGAAACTGACCACACAGCCATCTGGATATTTCAGGAGAGTCTTTGGGTGGAAGCCTGGGAGGAAACCCAAATTATCAGCATTGGCAGTGGGGGAGTTCCAGAAGTTCCACAGCCCAACGGCCTTTGATAATAGAATTTCTAGACTTAGAGAATTTGAGATCCTGGGAGGGCCCTGGTATTTTTACCTCCATTCATTGACTTAAATTCCCTGGTGTCCAGGCACATCCATTTTTCTTAAATTTAAATAACTAAAGAGAAGCTATGTCCTTAGGTTGAGAAGGTTCTCATTTTGCCCTAAGCAGTTCAAAACCTCCACTGTTTCACTTTGCTTCCTATGAAAGACTTGCTGGCATCTGGACATTGGAGACTATAAAGGTGTGGCCTCCAGTATAACCCAGCCTCTGGCCAGATGGGCCTCTGCAGATCCTTGCTATGCTGATGGTGTGACTCCTGGTAATAAATGTTACAGGACTTTACAGGGATTGGTGGAGGCAACTACAGTGGCCCACTTGCCATCTTCCTGCCATGGTTCATGGGAAGCAAACCGATGGAAAGTACCACATTGTTGGTGGGAGATTTGCCTTCTGGCCTAAAAGGTGTTTTCAAGTCCCACGCTGCATGATTGGGTTCCCAACCTCTGGCCGATTTCCCTCCTGGAACTTAGTGGCAAAGCTTCTTCCAACTCCTTCCCCAATATTCCCTATACAGAAGAGATTCTGTTCCCAGCTGCTGCCAGCTGTGGTCCTTTGGGAGAGGTGTTGCCACCCACGTGGACGCTCAACCATGAAAGTCTCCAAATGACCTGGGGGGCATGTTGCCCACCAGATGCCTGGGCCTACCCCAGTAGCTTCAGATCCAGTGTTTTCGTGGCAGGGCTTGGGCATGTATATTTTCAACAGTCTCCCCAAGTGACTGACATACATCAAAACTGGCCGAGGTCGTGCATTGTCCCTGTGCAGCAGGACTGAGCTCAGGGGAGAATGGGCCCAGTGAAGACCTCCCATTCTAGTTCACTCTAAACCCCAGCACTGAGCACCTGCTGAAGCCCAGGGGTGATGAAGACATGGCCTCTGTGTTCAAAGAGCTGGCAGAGCAGTGGTGGGGTGAGCACCTGATGGGGAGGGGTCCATGCCTCAGGTAAGAGACCCTGGTCCCTGTCTCTTATTAAAACTGCAATGTTCTGGAAACTTCCAGGTATAAAGCAGCAGTGCCCTTCACCTGTAAGTCGAATATGAGCGGGCTTGTGTTTTTAGGAGCTAAACTTAACAAATTTTATGTCAATTGCTGTTTATTACGTACTATTACTGATTCTATTCACTGGTTTGGGATCCTTTACTTTCTTCCTGTTTCAATCTGCCTTCCTTTTTCTTTAATATTGTATCTTTATTATCTAGGGCCCCCAAAAGCATAATATTACATTGTAGCTTTTAATGGCGACCTCTGGAGAAGGCAGCAACCCCGGTGGCAGAGCGATGCCCCGGCCCCTGGCGCAGGTACAGGAGCTCGCGCCCCGGGTAGCCCGCAGACGCCTGTCCCAGGCCCGCCACCGAGCCACCCTGACGAAACTCTTCAGTAACCTCAGGAAAGTCGTTTACCAGCAGTCTGATTTCACAGCCTCAAAGGTATGAGGACCTGAGTGTGGGGAGGAAAAGTTCTACCCGTGGAGGGACTGCGGAGTGAGGTGGAGACTGGCCTGGAGATGCCACTACCCCCATTCCTACCTCTGAGGGCTGTGGCCTGCCTGGGTGGGTCAGGGATCAGCTGTGTTATGTCTGCTGCTGGCTCCATGTGCTCCATGCGGTCCATGCCCTCCTCCAAGAGACCTCTCAGTTCCTGCAGGTGGAATCAGTTCCTCTTCTTGTGAGGCTCCACAGCCCTTTGCTTCTACCCCCTTTTTTAGAACTTACTGAATTCTAGTTTGTGCTACAAGTAGTTGTTTCCATGCTTGTGTTCCTTGTTAGAATGTCAGCACCCTGAAAGCAGGGGCTTTCTTACATGCTCTGCGTCCCCAGGCCCAGCACAGAGCTGTGTCCCCTTAGACATATATGCCTGATGAATGAATGTCACTCCAGAGAGGTATCAGTGGTTAGTATAATAAGCAGTATTTAGCAGTTCTTGTTTTTTAATAATCTTGCAGTTATCATTTTGACTTTAGTAATATTACAGGGAGGAAG